GTGAGTTCTTCAGCTTTGCCTTTCGTTAATTTTCATTGAGTCTTGATAAAACAAACAGATGCTGGGCAAGATTTATATTAAGGACAAGTGAATCTAAAAGCCTATATATAAGTGTCTATCTCTACATATGCCAGATATCTAAACTGCCTTGATAGACAAATAGAGGCATATATACAACGTGATCATCCCAATCTAAAGAGTAATCCACCTAAATAGTCAATAGCTACTTAATTACATCCTTAGAGGCATATAATGTCCATTTGAGATGTCCTCAGGCAGTTGATACATACATAGCTGACCTAACACAGGACATACAGGAGACTTCTGGAGCAGCAGTACAGGAAAGGACACCTCAAAGGGCATTGGGTAGCTACAGTTAGGCAACTGAACTGGATCCCGGTGTCATCTTCAAGGTGAACTGAGCAGCCCTCTGAACTCTGCTGTTTGTATTGAACAAAGTTCCATCCACTGCAATGAGAGATTAACCCAACAGCTCACATACAAACACCTACATTTAAGTGTCCTAATTTTGATTTGAATCCTGATCACATCCCTGCCTTAAATACAGTGAAACCAGTTTAACTGGGAAAATCTTACCCTGAATAGGGAGTGAGGGTGCTTTGTTCCTATCTGTCTCTCCTTGGGACTGGAGGTTGGACGGGTTCTCATTTCTTTTGCAGAAATGAAGTGTACTCCTGATTTGTGACATGGTCTGGATAGAAGCATCCCAGCCAGCTCCGTGACTCTGGGAGCAGAAGTCTGCCTTGCCCCTTCTCAAACCTCTCTCTCCAGAATGACACAAATGGCAGTGAATACTGCCCGCAGATACATCTGTGACCTGTGATCTGTCTGTCACCAGCAATGTACAGAAAAAATTAGTGATATAAAGATGCTTCCAAATGAGACAGCTGTCAAAAATTGCATTTTTTGGGTAATTTTGGGACAGACTAGAAAAAGACTGAAGAAAAAAAGAACCTCTGCAGCCCTACTCTGCTGACAGGATTCCTGTCAAAGCATTTTTTTGCTGATCAAAACATGTGATGTTCTTATAGAGTGGCCCATATCCTTGAATCACCCACCTCTATTTTCCTTGGCCAGGTTGTCAGCCATCTCCCAGTAGTCATAGCTGTGCAGGATGCTGTTGGTGATGCTGACGTGGTTGGCGGCCATCTGATGGATGCGCTGGGGGATGCTGATTATAGGAGATGAGGAAGGGGGCCCTGTGCTCCCCTGGGATCCGACAGAACTGACTGGAGAAGGGCTAGGGGACATGGGCGATGGAGTTCCTGTGCTCCTGAAATCAGATGTTGACACCATGGCTTAAAAGAGTGTTTGGTTTAAAAACATGGAAGTATCAGAACATACAGCAGGTAAGAAAATGTAACACCTGACAGTCAATATGTTCTAAGTTTCTGTGCAACAGGTGAACTTACTTTCCACTGTTACCCCAAGAAGATGGGTTCTGGGCGGCTTTTGATGAATTCTGTAAAGGAAAAATAATTAACAATGCACATAATTAATGTAAAAATACGAAATGAGGAGCAGCAGACAATATAAAAGTAAAGGAATATAAAGAAAAAATTGTGCAGACAGAGGTATTCGAATCTCTTGATGCAATTAACCCAGAGAGCCTGGTTTGGAATTGTGATGAAGCGGTGCTGTAGCACAGACTCAAATCACATTCCATTACACATCCTGAGATGGGGGCTGGCTAGGAAAACACGCTCGCTGATGCTCAACCTTCTCACAAAAACCCTGGGAGTTCAGAAGGAAGTGCTAGGACTCTTTGTCAGGTTTAGGCTGGAATTTCTTGTGATAGAGAAAACCAGAACACAAGAAGGCCGTGAGCAATCCTACAGAACATTCAATCATGTAATGCCTGATTTCCACCAATCATGGAACTTCAACCAGAATTTTTTTTTCCTTTTAATAAAAGATAGCTAGGCATACAGAAGTCCTAAGTCACTATCATCCTTGCTCTCTTTTGTCCTGCTCTACTGTTCAGCAGGCCTCTAAGTTAGGAAAATAGGTCCTATTTCAAGATTTCAAGACTCAACTTTCTTAACTTCAGTGTTTCAGAGTTTTGTTGGTCCTGTGCCAGCAAAACTGCACGTCACCTGGCATTATCAGTAATGTTTCCACACACAGTGATCACATTAACTTAATGGTTTTCCGTAAGATGGGCACACTGCTTGAGCCTCTCCTAAAAAAAGAAACCTTGTTTTCCCACCTTTGATGCGTCCTCTGCATTCCTTCAAGTGTTTCCACACACCAGAACTGCATTTTGACACCTGGCCTTCTGTATTATTGCTATGAAGAAGTAGCTCAGGAGTGTCCCACACTGGGCTTTTCCTTCAGTGGGGCTTTTTTGTTTTTTTTTGGTGTGTGTGTCTTCAGAACTACTGGCCTTCCTCTTTCTAGTGCAACAGAAACTGAGCACGTGTTATTTACTTACAGAGCTGGAGGCAGGAAATTGAGAAAACTGAAATGGAATCAAGGATACTTCCACTGTAAATTTAAGTAGCCTGTGCCTTACTGTACAGCTTCCCATACCTTTTTTTCTCATGTTGGCTTTTTTTTTTTTTTTTAAATTCTCTGCTACATTACTTTTTTTTAATATAATGGAAATAAAATACTTAAAAGGAGATTTAATAAGTTTTCTTTTCTTGTTTAAAATAAAAGTACGTCCGATTTTCCCTGAAAATATGTGTGAAATGGTTTAAAGCCATTCTCTGGTTGAAAATATATGTGGAAGCTCTTAATGCAGTCAGTATTTCATGTCACTTGGTTTTGAAAGCTTTTAGATACCAAATATGAAATGAGTGGAGAATTGGCTTGTTTTCCACTGAAAATTATGGCAAATGGATTTTTTTTTCCTATTTTTACTTTCAAAGGTGAGAATACTTACTAATGTGAAACTACGCTATCATTCTATCAGCAGGAGCTTTGCAGAAAACAAGCTCATCTTGTCTGTAACAGAGTGTAAGTCCATTTTATGTTTGCTGTGAAACAGTTTCTGTCTGCGAGTAAGAGACATTTTACATGGTTGAGAGCCTGACCATGCTGCTCTTAATGCAGGCATTCTCTGAATTGGTGAAGAAAAAGAAAGTGTTATAATTGGCACATATTTCTTTCCCCTGAAATCAAGTCATTGTTAGAGAAACATAAGATGTTGAATTATATATTGCTAAATTTTTAGAAGCAATTACAGTGACTTCAATTTCAGTTTGACAATAACAGATCTGTCAATTTCCTTCAATGTGTTCATGTGTTTAAAATCTGGTCATGAATGCTTGTGGTTGTATTTGAAATTTTTTATTAACAAAATGTCAAAGGATGGATGTTTTTCATTTCAAGGTACGTTCCTCTGTTAAAAAGAAGAAGAAAAAAAGAAAGAGAAAAAAAACAAAGGAGCCTCATGTTTAAAGACAAATGGCTGTTCCAGTTCCCAAAACAGTTTGTCTTGAAACAGTTTGTGTTAAAGCATTTATATGTACATATTTATTTAATTAGAAAGATAGAGGCTATTTTTCTTTCCATGTAGATTAAATGCTGGATGGACTGACTGCTAGGAGGGCTCCACCATAAAGATTCTGTCCTTGAGATACTTTCAGAAAAAGGCTGCCTGTCAAATAAAATAGATTAAAATGCTTTGAATGACTTCCTGTTTTATTCAAAACAACCAGGCTGTAGACCAGGCAGGAACTGGAGATAGGAAACAGTAGCACACAAAGTAAAGCAGGAAGGGGAAGCCAGTGGTGCTCTGTCAACTACATGGCAGGTGGCTTGGTTGCCCTCTGGTGCTTTTGTACAACTCCCATTGAAGTCAGTGTGGGCTCTTTGCTAGTTCCTCGGGTGAGAACATGTCCCACTGCACTGCCTTACCTACCCATGCTTCTAAGGGGAAGTCCTGCAGCTGAGGACCGATACAGATCAAAGTCTTCAACTCACAGGAAGTCTAGTGGGAAGTGTAATCCTGGAGGTGATTCTTGGAGCAAAATCTCCAAAATCTACCTACAACAGAGCAGGTTAGCACTAGATAATTGATTAAGAGTAACCTGAAAATGCCTGTTAGTACAATAAATTTCTTAGCCTTCCTGAAGGGACATGACTTGTATATTGCAAAGAGGGTCCCTTGTGAAGGCAAAATAAGTAACCAGTGATTAAGTGTTGCTATGGCAGTCTATAACAATGTTCCTACCGACTTAGTGGGACAAGAACTAACCCCACAGCTATTGTTTTTATTAAAATGTATTTACTGTAACAACACACTGATTTTAGAACATGTGAAAAAAAGAGTACCTTGAAATACTCAATAAGTGCTTTCGAATACTTGACAGCATGGTCTCTCTTGAGTCGGAACATCCTCCAGTACAGAAGGGCCAGGCAGCGGTAACTGCAATGAAAGGGAGAGCAGAAGGTGAAGTGTGCCTCCAAACAGTATTCTCTACGAATTATCTTAAATTCTTCAACTAATGTGCAGTGGAAAACTGGCGGCACTTTGCTTACTACTAAGTTCACTTGTTCTGTTCATTTTACTTATTACAGAATCTTATCATACAATGGCTGAGGTTGGAAGGGACCTTAAAGATCATCAAGCTCCAATCCCTGCCCTGAGGGGTATAGCTTCCCCTCACCAGCTCAGGCTGTCCAGAGCCCCATCCAACCTGACCTTGAGCACTTCCAGGGATGGGGCACCACAGGTTCTCTGGGCAGCTGTGCCAGTGCCTCACCGCCCTCTGAGTGACGAATTTCATCCTGATGTCTAATCTAAATCTTCCCTCTTTTGGTTTAAACCATTCCTCCTTGCTCAATCACTATTAGATCATGTAAAAAGTTGGTCTCCCTCCTGTTTGTAAGCTCCCTTCAAGGTTCCCCCAGAGCCTTCTCCTCTCCAGGCTGGACAAGGCCAGCTCGCTGAGCCTGTCTTCATAGGAGAAGTGCTCCAGCACTCTGATTATTTCTGTGGCCCTCCTCTGGACTCGCTCCAACAGCTCCGTATCCAAACATGGTTAGATGCCACAAAGTAGGTGACAGTGCCCTAACCGTATGCGTGCTGTACTGGGCCACTTCCATCCTTATGAAGAAGACTGCTAATGATCTTTCACACTTTGCAGTGGATTCATGAGCAAGGCTAGGTTAGGTGCTGCGGCCATGGCAGTCCGTGAAGAGAGCCACAGAGCAGACTGTGATCGGAAGGGTTTGTGCACCTTGGTTCCCAGGTTTTAGCCCTGAATTTGATGCACTCATGCTTCGACAAAGGAGAAGTCATTATTAGCCTGGAACCCCCAAAAGATTTAATCTTTAAATTCATTTCTCGTTGCAAATGCAACAGCAGCCTTTCGGGGTGCCCCATCCCACTACTACACTCCAGCAACCTGCAGCCTATATAACAAACTAGCCATTCTGGCTCTATCTCCCGTGTGCCTTTCCCAGCAGACTTAGGCAGCCACGCGTAGCCTCCTGCCCGCCCAGGCTCCACGCAGCTCCCGAGGCTGCAAGCTGTCCGTGGGGAAGCGCTACGCCGGCCCCCTCAGCCCGCAGCCGGCGAGTTGCGGCCGCCCGCCGCTGGAGGACAGCCTCGGCTCGGCAGACGGGCAGCGGCTGGCAGGCAGCGGGCGGGAGGGAGAGGCCCGCCGCCCCTCACCGCTCCCCCCTCCTCACCCCCCCTCGTTTCTTTTTTAGCCGCTTTTCAGTAATTCCCCACCTAAGCATTTTTAAAGCAATTCCCGTGCCCCGTGCTCCTCCCGACCGCGCCAGCAGACTGGCGACAAAGGAAGGGCGTTTAAAAGGAGCGCGCACCTCTGAATACTTGGTTCTTTCTACACAAATGATTAATTAGGACTCTTTTATTTATGGAGGATGAAGATGCATTCAGTTTGGGTTTTTAACAGATGGTTAATAGATGTTAAAAACACACTTGCTGATTGTAAATGTCCACTTACTGAGAATCAGTAACCATGTAATAGGTATTTGATGTATTAACTACATAGATATTAAATTAAAATTTGATTTTAACAGCGTTTAAGCATTTTACTAGCCATCAGCAGCCACCCTACAGAATGTAAGGTGCGTGTGTATATCCTGAAATCTCTGTTTGGGAGGGAATCCAAGAGGCTTAATTATCGCCATCACCGTATCTCTCTTCACATAATGTAAATGTAATTTACGATTATAGAGCCTAAATGTCAGCCACAAAGAAATTGCCAAACTATTGGTACAAAAGTACATTGCTCATAAAAACAGCAAACCATCGGGCATTTAAAAATTAATTATGCTGATGTACGATAGCTGACCTGCCACAGTCAATAAGTATGAATTGCTTATTTACAGAGACAGAACGCAGACCTGTTGCAGTGATATGAGGGCTGGACCTTTCCAGAGCTGAAAGTATGCTCTTTCTTTCAACAGACAACATAATCCTATCTGGCCGCGTCCAGCGTCTGATTTTCAAGAACTGTCTCCCTGCAGAAAAGGAGCCTTTTGAGGAAATGGTGATCTACTAACCATAGTGCTGCCAACTGCTTGTCTTCTGGCGTGGCATTGGGGCCTGAGTGGGTTTTTAGTCTCACTGCGTACCTTAAGCAAAAGGAAAGAAGCCCATGTGAGTAAACCGACACAGCTTTATTTTCCTGATCAGCTCCTACAAGAGCTATGCTGACCAATGTAATTTGAGCTGGCCCGTTATACACATTTGCTCAAGTTACCAAACATGCATGTCCTTTTCTGGTTGTGTTTTGGAACTATTTTGCCATTAACGGTGCCTCCCTGCACTCCTTATACAGCAGTAACTCCCCCCGACCATAGATCAGTGCAGAGGGAAGCCCAGCTGGCAAGGTGCTGCTTCCTGGCTTGCTGTGCTGCCCTACTGAAATAACCTCCGCCGTCGGGGAGGCCCAGTTACACAGAGTTCACGCAGGGAGGTTTTTGCAGTGCTTGAAGGCAGGTGACAGCCTGTCTTGAAGCTGGTGCTGCCCTCACCCTGCCAATTCCAAGCGTGTCTACCCGGATTTGAGCCTCCAAGCAGAGCACGGCACAGGGGGAACTTGTAGCTCAGAGCTATTTTTGCACATATGACATTACGCTCAAATCCTATAAATATTAAACATCCACAGTGGTAACACTGCTGTTTCAAGAGTGTATGTGCTGTGCAATCATAAATTAGTTTCTGGAAATCTCGGCTTCCAGCTGAATACCTGAACAATGGACAAGGTTAGGACAACACAGCACTTCTGGGCTCGCTTCCAGAAAAATACCTGCTCCCCATAATTAGCTGCCTGTGGTTTTTCTTATCTTTGTTTTCAAACTTTAATCCTGATACATGTGCAAAGATTCAGTATGAACATTTTGTTTTAACAGGTGTACCTAGTAAAGCTAGCATATTTTTCTAAGCTGCAGCAAGTGAGATCAACAGTAATTCACACTACTACACAACCACAGCTACATACATTATTGAAAGCTATGAATCTGCAAGCAAAATTCATTTCCAGAGTTAGGGCCATATATTTGCTATCACGATAAAAGACAGGGCAGACAAAGGAAGAGCTCTCTGCCTGTGATGGTGCAAGTATTGAAAAAAAGAGGGAAGAGATGCAGAGATGCAGTATTCTACTCTCCTACTGAAAAAAAAAATATTTTACTTTGTTTAATAATCTTCCAGTTAGAAAGCTGGCCTCAATCCACTGAAATGCATGAGAAGACAGCCCTAAGTGGAATAAAATGCCAATGGAATTTTGTTAATGTTGGTGAGAAAATGATTGCATCAACACTCCAAAAAAGAGCTCCAAAAGAACGCAATTGTTTGAGGAGCTTTGCTTCATTATGAATATGATTAAAAATGAAATGTTTTAATTACTATGACCTTAGTGCTGATGAGACCTGCATGGTTGACTGTCCTAAGGAATTATGCCATCGTCACTGACAGTGCAGCTTTCTCTGCTAGTGTGCTGGACTTTCTCTTGCAGAGGGTCACTCAGATGCTGGGATGAGTTTGACCTATTTTTCTCTTCCAGCACTCAATATTAACTATTAGTACAAATTACAATAGAGGAAAGGACTTAGAAAAAAGAAACTCTCCTTGTAGGAATTGTGGGTAGGACTGTATCTGGATTATCTTGTTTGGATAGCCATGTAGCTGGGTAAATGTAGGGATCTGTTTAAGTGTGAGCTGGACTGTTTTCAGGAGTCCACTAGCATCCGTAGAACACACACTAATGGGCCTCAAATGCCCATTTTTGCTATGGCTGTTCACATCTTTCAGGTAACAATTATACTGTAGACTTAAATATGTTACAGCATTTGCAAATGATCACTCCATGAGTGTGTTCTGTTATTAGGTAGCAGTTTTTTTCCCTTTTGAGGAGCACTTGACTTATACCTTGAACTCTTTCAGTAATTTGCAACTCTGGTAATATTAAAAGCTTTGTTTATTTTGCATTCTACACCATTTCCTAATTCGATTTCCAGTGAAATCACAGATAATCCATTTGTGTTACATATGACTGACGAGGCACCTGGCAAGTCCTCACTTCTCTAGAAAATAATGCGATAAAGTAGATGAGCATATTTGCATGAACAGAGTAACCCCTGTGGTTGTCTCCTCCCTTCCTACCTGATGAGTTCAACTGTTTCTGAATACATTGTATAGGGGGATTTAGATTCCATTGGGCCTTGTTCCATTGCATTTCCACACTCAATAAACGATAGTGCTGCTTCTGCATAATTCAGTGCCTTTCCAAACTTTTCCACCTAGAGGGAAAAAATAAGGACACATAGAAATAATGTAGTCATCAAGACATGGTTACATTTGATGGGATTTTCTCAATGTGAGATTTTCTCAGTGTGACTTATAAACTTGACACAAGTCAGTATATCTTCAGATTCATAAATTTTCCTATGAGAAAGCTAAAGCTCATCAAACCTTGTGCATCAGTGAAAATCGTAAAACAGAAAGCAGAGCTGAAAAAGGCTAAGAGATGTTATTTGGTCCACGCTCTTGTGTCAAAAGAAGGATCAACTCTGCCTAAGATGCTCTTCAGCGCTGGAAATCCCATGAACTCAACATCAGGCCTTTTGACTCAGCTATCAAGTGTCCTTACCATTAAAAGTGGTTTCACACATTGCAGATGCAGTCTTTCACCAGTCAACAAAGGAAGGCAATGATTGTCTTGAACTAAGAGAATAGGAGTTAAATATTTTGACTACTCTTATTCAAAGGCTCATCTCCATTCTCACTTCTTTTTCATTCCTACCATTTTCAGCACTGCGTGGCCTCTTGTCAGGATTTTGCCTTCTATATCCTCCTCCTCCTTTACGGACTACTCTACTCTCCCAGCTTTTCATGCCATCCTTCTTCCTCACCCAGTTTGTTCTCTTACTTTCTGAACTTCTTTGATGCCACGTGTTTGTGTGCTTAAACATATACATATGCACATATATGTCCTCAGTAATAGTGTATATGCACATGTGCACATTATGTTCATATGTGTACGCTTAGATACCACTTATCTGGTCTCAGAATTTCATTTTTGATGTGGGTAGAGATGAATCATACTATTATCTCTCTGTCCTGACTTGTCTTTCCTTCAATCAGAACTCCTGCGGTACATAAAGCCCATTAATGGACTGGATGCATTTGGTTGAAATCTGATGCACGCAGTGAAAGGTTAATGGACCTTATTCTTTTCTAAGGGATAAAGATTTTAAATAGTAACTTTGGAATGGCACACTGGCTTCAATCTATTTTAGGTTCTTATATGACTCCCATTGCGATCATACCGGAGAATTTCACAAACTTTTTATTATATTTCTCTCCCTGACGCTCTTCTGCAGGTGGAAGTGCTATTATCCCAATTTCACAGATGGGGAACTAAGGAGCAGAGAGACTTAGAGTCATTTTCAGGCTGCTCACTCTAAGTGCTTATATTAGGTATTGCAGTGCCAAAATAGGAGGTATCGAGCCCAGCAAGGTGATGCAAAGTGCTCCCATTTCCCTCCAGGATCCCTACACAGTCAAGGAAGGGGGAAGTACTTGTGATGAGTGATTCAGTATCAGTAAGGAGCTGGTCCACTGCGGAGGAAGACTGAATGTGAAGGATATTTCTATCACCT